CCGGTATGTTTCTGGAATTGGGGGGGGGGGAAGTTGAAGACAGGGGAATTATTAGCTAGAAGATGTTATCTTGATCTGACAAATAGCAATTCACATTAATAATTTACGAGGAAATGTGTAATAGCTAGAGGGGAGAGTTACCATCCAGATCTTGGAAGTTGGCAGGTAATGGTGAAAAATATGATGGACTTTTGTTTTGTGTTATTTCTTTTTTTCTGTAGTGGAAACTAGGATAGGAAGGAAAGATGCTGATCCTGTGCCTAACATTCCTCTTACTGGCCTGAGGTAATTCTCTATGTAGCTTGTAAGCAGGCCCTCACTTTTACTGCTGCAGGAAAAGCACTTTCTGCCTGCAGAAAATGCTGAAACAATTAATTGGCCATTTTACAGTTGTGTACTTAGTTGCCAAGCCTTTGATTCAGAGTGAGACTAAAGATGACCTTGTTGTGATAGAGACCTGAATCTAGTTAGCATGATAACAAAGTGATTTACATTTGAAAGGCAGCAAGGTTTGTATCATAACAAGGTCATCTCTAGCCTCACTCCCCTTCAAAGGCTTGGCAACCAAGCACGCAACTGTAAAATAGACTATTCTGGGAGAGGTTTTTTCAGGCTCTGGCACGCTTATTATCAGTGCTAGACCCTCTTGCAGAGCCCTTGTGGGTTAGCATTGCCTTAAAGGCCTTATACTTTCCCACAAGCAAAGAGAAACACTCATGCTCAAGTGATATACAATGTTACATTGAAACTTAGAAACTTCTTGTTTTATACATCTTTAAACTGATGTTGTATGGGGTTTTAAATTCTGGAAAAAGTATTGAAATCAGTGTAGGTCATTCTCAAGACCTGTTAAACATTGTGATTGAAGATAACATCAAAGATGTATAATTCAAAATTAAGTGTGGAATTTCTAGAGGTTGTTTTCCTCGTTGTACTCAGTGCGCAAGTGCTAAATGGATCTAAATAATTGCAAAGTTCTAAAGGAAAACAGAGATTCAATATTTGATTGGATTTGTCTTTGTCGTCACAGTTTTCATTGTGTAAGGCCCCTTTTACTCCTCCTTTAACCCTTAGACCCCAACAATTGACTAGCATCTTATTTCTCCTTACAATATCACCCCTGAATCAAACATTAAGGTCAGGAGAATAAAGGAAATGATCACTAACTAAAGAAGCTCTTGATTGTTCAACAAATTCTCCTTGTCAGCACCTTAGGAAATGTATAATGAATAGTATGGAGAATATGTATACTGATGTCAGGGGTTAAAGGGTTAAGATTTGAGAGCTGCACTGCTACTGTCACAAATTAACAGAGAGCTCTATCAAAACCCTGGTGAATTATTAGTTTCCTTTGTTCTTTTACAGTATCTTGAAGCATCATGCCTTGGTTAAGACAGCAAATAATGAAATAACCATTGAGCCTGGATCACCTGGGGCAAAGATAAAAGTAAATGGAATGCCACTTACTGGAGAGCGTGTTCTCAAGCATAATGACCGAATCTTGTTTGGTGAGTTTTTTCACATTATTAAATGATTTTCAGTGTCACTAACAATACTGTTCACTTTATGCAATCACCTACAGCATGGCAACTCTAAAAATTGCTTCATTATGTAGTAATAATAATAATAATGGTCTTTATTAAAAGGAATAATGCATCAACCGTGTCATTATTTACAAAGAATGAAATATAGAACAGATTAAGGTAGAAAATACAACTAACTATCAATGGCAGACAATGCTAAAAAGACATCTATTTACAAAAGTGGATTTAAAATGTGAAGTACGAACTCTAGGTAATATATAATCATGGCCCCTGCTGTGTAGTTGCCTAGTACGTCTCGGCGGTAAAAGATCATCAAGTGCAGTGGTATTTGAATTGATCTTTATCCATGGTTTGCTATCTCTGGTGGCTAAAATATCACAAATACTATATTTCTTCAAACAATATCCTGACTTAAAAGCCCTAGCAAACAGTTTGTCTATTCTCTTAAGATATTTATCATAATAACAGCAACCCCGCACCTCGATAGCGTATGTGAAGACTGAAATAATTAGGCTTTGGAAGAGCAGATCTAATTGCTCCTTAGGGTAGCCATAAAATCTACAAACTCTTAAAATATTCATACGACTGCTGGCCTTACCAAGCACATGATCAATATGTGAGTCCCAGTTCACAGGGTCATCCTCAAATGTAACACCAAGCAGCTTGAGCTTGGTTTTACGCTCCACAATAGTGAGAGGAGCTGGTGGAACTTTCAGGCTACCACTTTTTAGTAACATTTCCCATGTTTTATTCAAATTTAGTGTCATTTGATTCTTTTCAGCCCACTCCATTATAGAACTAACTTCAGACTCGGCTATGTCGCCATCCTCAGCGTGAACAGGGATACTGACTGTGATATCATCTGCAAATTTAACCAATAGGCTAGAGGGGCTAAATGGCTCTATATCATTTATCATCCGAGAGAACAATATTGGACCTAGCACCATCCCCTGGGGGACACCCCTGGTTATATCTATAAACTCAGTAGTGATGTTATCTGCCACATATAATATGGTAGATAACATATATAGTATATGCACAGATATAGTATATGAACATAATTTTTCTTGTTTTTATAAGTAGTATCAATACTTAAAAAAGTCTTAGTTACTTTTATCTGGTAAGCTGACTTCTAATCTATTGGAGAAGAGATACATAGATGACTACTCCTTTAACAACCTTTTGCTTTTTTATCATGTAAAGCAAGAAGGTCTATGTTGGGTAGGGTCTGTATAGTTATTGTCAATAATAGATAGAACGCAGTCTAAAAAGACGTCAAAATGTGAATGCACCTCGTGCGTCACAATTTTGTTCTTATCACATTTTTTATGTCATCTCACGGCTGTGATCTATTGCAGAACGGACGCCCAGCAATATGGAGTTTGTTTGTTAGACTGATACATTGCCAATAAAATCAATGTCAGTGAACACTGGTATTGCCCAATCAAGAGTTACTCAGCAGCTAACACGAGTTACCAACGTGGTAGATAATTATCTGTACACTTTGCAGGTTCAAACCATATGTATTTCCTGGTAAACCCAACCAACAAAGAAAAAAGTGAGGGAACTCCAGACAGTGTTGACTGGGAGTTTGCCCAAAAAGAGATCGCTCAGGCTAAGGGTTTTGCTACTGGATTTGGAAGTGGACTTTCCAAAGGTAATTTTAGAAGATTTTGAGACTAATTTAAACAACGCAAATGGAGTTGCATTGACAGTGTGATAAGATTACCATGATTAGAATTTAGCGGTTGTACTTTCACTGGGTAGCAGTGATTCTTTATCCAGTGATTCACGGCAGAATTGGGATCAAACATAAACCATTCCACCCCTCAGTCAGAGTGACCAGGAGCTCATTTGTCCTTACAATATCACCCCTGAATCACGCATAAAGTCGCGAGAATAAAGGAAATGATCACCAACTAAAGTACTTCTTGATTGTTAAACAAATTCTCCTTGTCAGCTCCTTAAGCAGTGTATAGAGAACAGCATGGAGAATATGCATACTGATGCAAGGGTCTGGAGAGTTAAGGTCATGACAACAAACTGAGTGCCAACTCAAGAAGCTTTTAATAGTTAATTAAACATATTCCCCTTGCGAGTTCCAAAGGAAATGATTAAGGAACAGATTGGAGAACATGAATACTGATGTTAAGGTGTTGACTCTGAGTTAACTGCATTGTTACGATGATTAGATCAACAGCGTGCTCAGGAACAAGTGCTAGAATTGCTTCCCATCGTCAGTGAGGTGAACGCCATCAGTGAAGAACTCAACAAGCACAAGTATGTAGTACATTTTAACTCGTAGAAAACGGCTGAAAGTAATTTTAGAGTTGTTGTTATGACTCCAAATTTTCTCTTTCCATCCCTCTCTCTGACATTCCTTCCTTTCACTGCTGTTGACTTTTTGGTAAGTCTGCTAGCTACCGCATGTTCAGTTCCTGCATAGGGCTCAATTAACCATTCATTGGTTTGGATCTGGGTACACGAGGATCAAAATAAATTGGCTGCCTTTTTTGTTTAAAAAAAGAGATGGTTTATCTTTCTTTAGGCAGCAAACGCACTTGTGCTATTCAGCCTATAATTGCGTCAAGAAGGGTCGGCATTTCTCTTCTTAGCTTCTGTACTTTTCACCTTGATGTTGGGGTCCCTATGTATGTTTCTTGTCTCATTCCGCACAGATATCAGTCCCACTTTGTCAACTTTCCTTCTGTAAAATTGATAACGGTTGCATATTAAAGTAATTTTTGGAAGTTGGAAAATAAAGTGGATTGGTCTGGTGGACGGTTCAGTAATTTGGAAGACATATTACTTGTTGATTAACTGTATTATTGATGACTGACTGACTGTTTATGGATTGAATGAGTGAGCGAGCGAGTGACTTACTGGGAAAGTGACCGACCGACCGATTGATCGATTGATTGACTAATTGATTTGATTGACTGACTGACAGATAAATCGATGAATGGACCGACTCGTAATTGGTCTATTTATTGATTGACTTTTTGTCTGATTGATTGGTTGCCAGGACATTTGAAGTTATCCTGATATCAGGCGCAGCTCAGGGAGGTGATTCAGAAACGAAGTAAGTTCCATCATTGCTTGGCAAGTCATGTGAGCAGTGAGCAGTCATGTTACTGTTAAGAAGTGTCCGAAAGCAATGAGGCACTGAGCGGTACACTAGACTCACAGATTTGTTATGGTGAGAAATATGCGATAATTAATGGGGAGAAGTGGTGTTACGAGTGTGGTTTACGGTTAAAGTTGTGTTATTGGGGAGATTTGAAACAAAGTCAAAAATTAGCGTACAGTCCTCACTTGGTGCTTATCTTACTAACTCGTGGATAAGCCGCTGTTTATTTCAAGTAATAATCTGTTGGTCAAGAATCGGTCGAAAGTCCACCAATGTTGTTGTTGTTGTTGTTCATTTATTTGTTTAAACAGGTTGATTAATTGGCAGCTGTAATAGCTGATGTGGACCTGCTGTCCTAACCCACCCCTCCCACCCCAGGGGAGGACATCCATCACACAGTAATCTCGTGTGTGGGAAATTAAGAGGCTGTCCGCCTAAGAACGGATAAGGCAAATTTCGGACTTTCACCGATTTCCCTAATTTTTACTGTATAAGTCGAGACTTCTATCCCATGAACAAATATTGCGTTTATTTTGAACCAGTCTGGTTTTTTCACTTTTGAGGTGATATTTTTCGAGGTGACCTCAAAGGCACCCAGTTTCCCCCCC